AAGATGGTCTCCAGCTCCTCCTTGTCGATCTTTCCGTTGCCGTCCTGGTCGAACAGTTTGAAGTACCACTTCAGTTTCTGGTTGATTTCTCCCTTCAGCATCAGGCTGATGGCTGCGATGTACTCCACGAAGTTAATGTAGCCATCCTGCAGACACGAAGCAGGGAGTTAAAACCATCAGCGAGGGGGCGTTCAGGGACATCCTGTAAGATTCAGACCTCAGTTTTAATATGGACGTTTGTTCAGCTTCACAAAACCAAAGCAGAGCAAACGTGACAGAGAGACAGACAGCTGTCGTTCAGCTGTGCAGTAATTCTGCACATTAAAAACTGAAGGTTTATGTTACTGTAATGCTTACACGGGTTTTATGACCAGGTTACACACAGCAGCTGATTTAGAGTGACAGCAAAACTCGTAGATGAGACTAACAGTCATCAGCATTCTTGGGCTGCACATTCACCGATCACCTGACACTGAATCTCAGCTCCTGATTGGTCAGACCGCAGCTTCAGTCCATCACGTGGGGCTCAGTTTGAGGACTCAAAGAGCTTTTTTCACCACGCAGGTTGGAGGAGCCCAGGATCGAACCCCCAACATCCACATTATAAAACCACCTCCTCCAGTCTCCACACAGAGCTCAACCATTCATGCCTCCAGGCCTCTGTGGGAGGACCTCTGACACCTGAACATCCACCCAGTTCCAGCTTTATTGAAATTCAATTCAATTCAATTCAATTTTATTTATATAGCGCCAAATCACAACAAAAGTCGCCTCAAGGCGCTTTATATTTCAAAACGAGGGATTTCTGATTTGAAGATTCATGTGGTCGCATAGCAACAGCTGCCCAGGCGACACGCTGTCAACAGGTTTCTGTGTAAAACTTTATCATCAGCCTTGTATGTGAACCACGAGCTTCTATGTCCACTACTTTAAAAACAGCCTTTAGATATCTTATGATTGATACATCTTACAGCCAATATAGGATGTATCAATCAGCAAAGCCCGGTCAGCATTATTGATTATTGATTGGGCTCATTCACAAGCTGCAGAGCTCTCAGCTCAGACCTACAAGCAGCAGGTCGAGTTTTCTCTCATGAATCAGACGTTTTCATTTCAAAGCACGTCCCATGTAGAGTCTTTAATCTGAGCTTTCATGTGACCTTTAACCCCACTTTAGTGACACTCGTCTCAAATTGATATTAATGCCTCGTAACTAGCTGTCATACTACCAGCCTGATATTACAGTTATATGTCATTATTGGATGTTTTGGTCAGAAATAGACGAAGTATTCTGAAAACAAAAGCACTGAGGTGCAGGAAAGACTATCAGCTCTAAACCCGTCGACGTGTCAGATTACTTTTACTTTCCTGCAGAAGCCGCGTCCTATAAACATGGAAGGCTGGGCAAACTGACGTGGAACGCACCCCGTCCATGTCGAAGGTGAAGAAGACCTGCTCCACGCAGCGGTTGGCTTCCTCATTCAAGCCCTTCAGGTTGAGTATGGCCTTCAGCTCGAACAGCGTGATGAGGCCTGACGGAGACTCCTTCATGAACTTGTTGTACCAGTGGTTCATGTCCTCGGCCAGGATGTCGTCCAGGCTCGAGCCGTGGTTCCCCATGGCGGAGGAGGAGGCCCGGTGCGCTGCTTGTTAAAGGCGGTCTGCAGTCCTGCGATCCTCCTCAGGACAGGAAACTCCACAGAAGACGATCAGGCTGCAGGCGGCGGCTCGAGGTGGCCCACATCCAGGCTGCCGTGACTCTGCAGGCACTGAGCGAACCTCAGGACTCTGTAACCCTCTTAGGTCCTGCAGGAAGAACCAAAGAAGCACTGAAAATAACTCCCTAATGAGATCACTGCAGGGCTGTGGGCCGATCCAGGACAGGTGCCTGCAGGAGGCGGGATGGTCCTGGAAGCAGAATTATGTAACCGGCTCACCTGGCAGGCTGCGTTCACACAGAGAGGTTTCCCAACGTGACGCCCACGCAGGACGCTCCTCGCTGCTCAGCTGACGGGATGTGCAGGCTCCTAGAAACCTGCAGAAGCTGCTTCCTCGGTGCAGCTCCTTCTGTCCCATGAGCAGGCAGTGAAAACGAGAACAGCAGTTACTTTGGTTTCGTTTCTTTCAAACCTCTGCTGTTTGTTTGCTTTAAGTAAGTCACCCATGGCCGTTTCCTTAATTATTCCACCCAACGCCTGAAACCATCTGAGCATCAGCGAGCATCAAGCAGAGACGTACGGCGCTCTAACCAGATCATCCAGGCGGCGGCTCGACCTGCAGGTTGATTCAGAGCTGAGACGTCCTGTTGGTCAAACTTTCATCAAACAGGAAAAATAAACACAAAATGAAGTTTCTGGTCACTTTGAGCTGATCAGTGAGTTTCTCCTCATTTTTGTTTAGTCCCTTTATTATTGTTGAATCGTGACCTCTGACCTTAGCTCAGAAGCCTGCAGGTCTTCTTCTGGGTTCTTCTCTGAAGAGTAATTTTGGTCGACCGGTCACTCCTGGGAAGGTTCACCCACTGTGGGTTTTCTCCCACTGATGATGTCACTGACTCAGCTGTTTCTTTACATCACAGCAGGACGTGTCTGAGATCTTTGGCCTGCTTCACTTTGTCTTACTGAGGTCGGTCAGGACGTCGTGTTCATCATCTCATCGTACCTGATCTGATTTCATGATGGTCTCTAAATTTTGAGAGGATTTTTTTTTCTTGTGTTTTGACCTTGAAAGTTTTTACCTGCTGCTGAACGAGCGAACGAAGTTCCACTAGTTTGTTATTATTATCAGGAAGTCCT